TAGCACCTCTCAGTCGCTCACAAACCAAATGACATACAGACACCCCTTCCTGGAATTGCCCTATATATTCAAGGAGCAGTTTCAGTATAGATTAAATCATTTAAAACTGTTTCATGTACCAAATGCATAACAACTGTACATAAGTAACACCTGGATATTACTAAGAATTACTTGCAAATCAATAAAAGATTCTTTAATGGTGAAGACACAGTACTGGAATTTATCTGGAGAAAATAATTTAAGTAATAGCTCACAATTATATAAATATTTTTAAAACTAAGATGCACCTAAATTGGCCTATGTAAAAGGGCTTGTCTGTTTGCAAACATCAATCAAACATTCAAAAAACTTTTATTTTAGGGGGGGGGGGGGGCTAATTTCTGTGGTGGTGAGAGTAGACCAATAGTAGTTTATCTACTCTCAACAGAACAAAAAAGAACAAATATAAGAGAAATTGGAATAGCAAAACAGGAGCTTAACAGAAGAAAACTTGGAGGAATAAATTCAAATGAATTCTTTTGCACTAGTTAAAGATTCTCAATGTTCTGTGATTTATGATCATAGAAATAACGGCAACTAAGAAACATTACAGCCAATACCATCAAGATATTTACCTGAGTGAAAATAGTAGGATGATACATAACGGCACCTGGTTCAATTATCCAGACGGCAAAATTACAGGCATAAGTGTTCTGGGACCACAGAAGATTGCACCATACCTAGAAGTGAATCATCAATTAACACAATGATACATAACTTACAATAATTTACTCTAGATGTACAAGAAAAAGAGAGAAATATTTACAATGTTGAAACGGTTTGATACTAACATAAGACTGGACCAACTAATGTAAATATTAAAAACTGATCTTCGCGCTCGAACTATAGGAGATCCTAACCTCGCTTTTTTGGCCGCGCACGCAGATTCACCCTATTGCGTGGAGGAAATTAACCACGGTGGCACATTATGGAGGCAGGATCTGAATCGTTACATATTCAGATCATATTTTTAACAGTTATGACCGTCAAGGTCAACATATTGTCTATCAGGGCTAAAGACGCGGATCTGTGCTGTCACACGCTACCTGCTACACACTTGTTTACGTCCCACCCACACCATAACAAACGCTACCGGGCAATGCACACACCATTACGAGGAATGATTCCTTGCCCCATATCCATACTTATGTAGGTTCGCTTCTTTTTTAACACTTAAACCCTTGTGCGTGATGTGACTAAAAATTGGCAACAAGCATACTTCAATTTTCGTCATACGACGATGTCGATCAATTTCGAAACCAACTATTATTATACAACAGAATTGATCATTGAAGGCGATGTGATAATTTAACAGCACAACAGCGCATGATTTCGGACTCAATAATTGTGGAAGAACACTCACCACAAATTTGGCAACGGATCATTCCCAGCAACGTGATTTATGAGGGACTATGTCATTAATACATACCCGTGAGCTAGGCCTGGCCAGGGCCTCAATTTTCTCGAGTGTCCTCGTCGCGAAAATGCAAAGGTTTGCGATCTTACACGAACGGATATTTACATGAAATACGCACCTAGCTAAATAGTTACAATACATTGGGATCAAAATACTTACCTTAATGTGAAATTGAGGTTTCAGAGCATTCGGAGTCAATTCTAAATTTTCACAGATCGCATCACTTTACAGGCGCCATTATCATTTTGATTTCCACTGCCTTCTAATAACAAAACGGCACAATGACATTTTTGCAGGTTGCTACTGCTACAGCACGTGGGTTGCGGCGGGTGATGTAGCAGTAGCAGAGCACGAACATACTACCTTCCCTTCCTCCCGAACCCGAACGAACTCCGAACAGTTCTGAACACGCTAACCGTGAAAACCGTTCAAACAGGGTTCATAGCATAACTCAACCAACCAAACCAGACAACGTCTGCAGTTTAACCATAGAACGTGTGTTTTGACTTCATGTGTTTAAGACAACTAGACTGATTCTATTTTTTTGATTATTATTGCGGCCGAAGATTAGCAACATATTTGTCCATTAGGGAACCTTTTGTTTTGAGAAAAAGTGTATAATGTCAGAAGTAACGAAATGAATTCGAAATATTTGAATAAATTGCCTAGTTTATCCGACGGGGAGCTGTACGTACGAGATCACTCCAGGATCAATCGGTTATTGGTGACATATATTGATTGTTGATCGGTAATACCTAATTTGGAACATACGCTCAATGAGTTTGCGTTCTATCTACCTAGTTTGCGTTCTATCTACCTATTACTTATCACTTCACCCATCTCATCAATCAATTTTGCCGAGGAGAATTTTCCCGGACTGCGCCAGGGTTTATATTTAGCGCTTCGACACTAGGCTCACAAACCTCACAAACCGATAGTTTTGGTTAGACTTCATCACACGGTATCCAATAATCCAATAACTATCCCCAGTCTTTACCTTAACTATTGTCGATTTTCTTTATTAAGAAATTCTTCTCATGATAATATTATAAAAATATTTTTTTTTTTTAAACGGCCACAAAACGACCGTTCTTCTAACAAGTGTATGTCGTCTGCTTTGGAGTAGTCTCTTTGAATCGGCACAGATTGCACCAATGAATGGGAAATACTTTGTGTCGTTGTGTCACATCATCAGTGAAAAGTTTCGGCTGCAGTAAAACTGCTTTTTATCGTGAAGTGTACAACTTATCCTTATATATCGGGCAGCCTTCAGAGCATCTGACGGTTTCGACGGCTGTTTAAGCGGGAACAGAACGTACCCCGAACGACGTCTTTGCCAATGACGTCATATTGCTACGGGGCTTGCAGGGTCTAGTTGAAGGAAGCCGCACCCTACTTGATCTGTGTCTGGTAAACATATTCGTTTATGTGTGTTCCCCAAAGGACATTGAGTGGTTCTAGTGCGTTTAAATGAATGTTTGACTGATGCTGGAAGTGTTAGAACTCTGGTGAAATAGTTGGGCGCGGTCTGTGCCTGGACCTGGGCGTGGAGCGGAGTGAGTAGTTCAGTGCTGTGGTGCGGCAGGAAGACAGGTCCTTGGAATTCGAAGAAAAGGTAAGCCAATAAAAAATATTCTCGAAGTTTTAATGACTTTTCGATGTCCAATGCGATTATGTACTCCGTATGTGACCCATAACGAACTCAGTTAAAGGACAGCGTCCTATTAATTTTTTTCCACGACGCCTGTAGGGTAGGCAGCCATTGACCCGCAATGAACGATTATGTTATTCTTCTGTCAAAATTCGGTCTTTTCTTCGTTGTTTGCGTTGTTAGTGCAATTGATTAAACTGTAAGAGTCTCACCTTCTTTTTCACTCCGGACATCTGAAATGCACCTTATCCTGTAGCGAATTCGGTTAGGCTTGTTAAGGTTGTTAATTTATGTTTACTTGGTGAATATTTAATTGCTGATGCATGTTAAACATTTTTAATCCTCAATGTTTCATTCAACCAAATTTCTAATCTGTGAGGATTTTATATCTTTGAATGCAACGAATGTTTTATTTCGAGGGAGAAAAGTTAGGTTATGTCAAAATCTTGTCAAACTTTAAAGCTCCTTTTTTCTGTGTGCACAAATCCTTTTGTTCTCTCTGTTTCTGCCAAGTATGCGAACTCCTTTGTAGACATAGAGATCTTGACTGATGTTTAGGGTGAATTGGATTTGCAATCTTAGGGTTATGATAATGCACTTCTATGCCTATCATTCCTAGCTGCGCTCTTTGACCACTGTTAGTGTATCGTTTGACGCTCTTGGCTCTTTTGTATTTAATATCAAGAATACTGTCAATTTATTATTACTTTTTGTTTGTTTTGAAATTATTAATATTCAGGCAATTATTCTGTATCCTTCCTAGTCAGTAATTGTTTTATTAGTGCAAAACTACTTAATATTTCACTCGGAGAAATTGCTGTTTCATATAATTTTATTCCAAGCCTTTTGGTTTAACTACTTTGTATGACATTTTTTTATCAACTTGTTACGAGGAAACACTTAGGTCTGGGAAATTTTCTATTTGGACAGAGGCTAAGTGGCAATCCTTCTGCTTTTCTCAAAAATGTATTCAATTTCCAAGTTTTGATGTAACTGTTAGGAGTTAACTCTGTTTTCGGCTGTGGGAAATTTGTGGATCACCTTGGAATGTTTTAATACATGATTCTAATACTAAAGGTACATTGAGATGTGCACTGCATTGCAAGGTAATTGTAGTTGTCATTTTTTAAGTTTCCATTCCTTAACTAATATCTTGCTTGTTTTTTAATTGGTTTAAAACTAGATTTTTTTTTGTGCAGTGCAAGGTAGTCGACCGTCTTTTTAAGTTGTGTTGTTATTACATCCTCGGCAAGTCCCAAAAGATAGTATTCTCTTCTCAGAATATCTCACTCGGTGTGTATGTGTTCTTACTTACAATAATTTAGACATCTTTATTGTTTTTCTTTTTCCATTTTATGAGTGATCATGAACATGCAAATGTAGGTATCTGAAAATGAATTCTGCTTGAATAATTTGAAGGTGCATGGTATATTGTGTGTAGGTTACTCTGTGGGGTATTCCTGGGAAGGCACAAAATGTGGCACCTTTTAGCTGAGACAGGATAGGAAAGGGCGTCTACCTAAAATATTTCTCTTAAGGGTCCCAAATCGTTTTTCTTATTTCTACTTATTGAAAACAGAGTTTTGACGACTCAATTGCTCTTCTGCATCATTCCCTTTACGCAAGAAATGAGATTCAAACATAATTTTGTTCCTTTTAAAGGACTATGGGAAAAAATGGAGCCTGATATTTTCGTTTTTAAGATGAGCATCAATCCAATACAAGACAACATTTTTGTAACTTTTCGAAAACAAATTTCAAGTTCTGGGTGCTGTAGTCCATTCGAAAGGTGAGGGATGTCTTTTGGGTTCGTCTGACATGGTGATGATTCGAGGATTTGACCGTGCACCGGGTGTTGCGGGTTGCCGGATGGGGGACCCGTAGGACGCCATTCGGCCCGAAAGGGTACGTCAAGCTGCAACACTGCGGTGTCCGCTTTGATATAGAGTTCTATAGGACTCTACTGTGATGTATACATTTAGGCGCACCTTTCTGGCCTTTTCAAGCGTCTAATTTTAGTGTGGCGGAGGGTAAAATTGCATGGGTAAAATTATCCATGCAAAAGTTAGTAACTTTCAACTTTTGTCCTACTGCTATCAGAAGTATTGACTGTATCCCATACTTTCCATAAAGTAATAATTGGTCATGTCACAAACCGTAAAGCGTGGTATAGCTCCATAAACGCCAGTAGCAATTTCTGAGAGTGGGGTCGTATTCAGTTTGCCTAGTGAGTCGAAATGACACCGAATTTTAAACCATAGGCGTGTACCATACGAACCTTTCGAACGTTAATAGAATTTCACTGGTAAAGCAAGTGTTAAATTTTGCACATCAATTGATGTTTAAGTTCAAGTGTGCATTTTCTAGACACATTGTGGTGCAACTTGAGTCAAACAGCACGTAATGTGCATAACTTGTACACGTTGGTGTGCAAATTTTGCACACTTGGTTTATCAGTGTATATGTACCAGGTGGCTGGCTAACCTCGCTCATTTCTGTCGCTATGCTTTACCGCTACTGCACCAACGAGTGCGGGCGGGCTTGCCTATTTGCCCGTGACTATGGCGCCTTACGAGCCAAGCGAGTATACAGGCAGCGAGTAGGCACTCGTGCTTGCGGTACAGCATCACAACAGGAGTGAGCGGGGTTAATCAGCCACCTGGTACATCAATGGGTTCTCACTCAAATAGATTGTGAGTGGGAGGAGGAAAGGGCGCCTCATGACACCATAGCTTTATTCGTTTGAACGGTAAGTTTGCATGCCGACCCAACCAGTAGCCTTTCTTATTCGACGTCGATGAGACCTCTAATAGACAGTGTCGTGTATTTTCGGACAATTTAGATGTCTATTTATTGCGTATGTTAGGGCTACGACAAGTGTTGCGGGTTTGCATACCGTGTAGTAGACGCCGAGTACCGGGTGGAGCGAGTGGGTAAACCCTCAAACCTGACACACGATATAGGTGTCTATTTGGTCCAAAATTAGACCTCAACCTCTCACTGTGAAAAATATCGTCGTGAATTTACTATCCATATTTTGTGATCAATATTTACAAAATATTATATAAATATATGACACCCCAAACTTGCTCGTCGATGAATTCCGAGCCGATACAACGTGGTTGTAATTTTTCAATTTTTAATTTTACCACACGCGCCAAGGAAAGTTTTGCCGTAAAACCTACAACTAATTTTCACAGTGCTTAAGGACGTTTAGCAGACGCCGAGTACCGGGCGTAACTGTGAATACGCAGCAGTGTTGCGGGATTGCATACTCAATATGGCCGCAGGGGCCATGGCCCCTTACGGGTGTAAAGAGTAGGCAAACCTGCAACACTGCTGCGTATTCACAGTTACACCCGGTGCATAGATAAAACACGTCTGGCTGGGGAGTGGCACCCCTTGTAAAAAAATTGTGTAAATCGTGGTTTAAACGGTGTCTGTCTGACTTTGACGTACGGTACGGTGCAAAATCTGAACCCTTCGCGAAGGTCGAAAGTACTTTTCATCTAGTTAGACACAACAAGGTGTTAAACGAAACACACATTTCAACTTCGACCTCAATCGACGCACGCAATGACAATCGTGACTTTTTACCATCCCGTAAACTGACACACACGCGTTCTTATCAATGCTCAGACGATTTTGAGCCGTCAACTAGTTTTGACCTTTCGGTATGTGCACACCCGTTTCCGAGGTAAAGTACCCCGCTCGCTGCTTATTTCCTTCAGTCCAGGGCGCGAAGCTCCTGCAGTCAAAAGAAACGTCAAGAGATGGCGTCGCGTGGGAATTTGTGATAATTCGTGCTCGTACTAAATGCAGGTTTCCGGCCGAGGGGGAAAGGGGAGGGGGGGGGAGAAGCGGCGGGAGGAGGCGCGCGTAGTGCGGTAGTGTTTCCATCAGCAGCGCGAACTGAACACGCCTCCCCTCCCGTGCCCCCGCCCGCCCCGCTCACTTGGCCTCACTCAGCATCAACTCTACCTCCCTCCTGCCCCTCCCCTGCCGCACCGTTGCCCGCAACACTCCGTGGTTCAGGCCGTCAGTACCTTCCCTCCCTCCCCCGCTCGCCCCGTGTCTCCCGCCGCTCTGCGCATGGCTCCTGCTGTACCGCCCCGCCCCGCTGCCATGCCTACACGCACAAGAGACCAAATGCACCGCCCGTGACTGAGGCTGAGCACGCCGACGCGACACCTGTCTGGCCGAACACTTTCCCCGGGCCGGAAGTACTCTTCCAGGGTGGGGGCTCTCGGGGCGCGGGGAAGGACCATTGCGGGAAGAGAGGAGAGGGGGGGGGGGCGTTTATCAAACAAACTGTGACGTGCGTTCCGCCACAGGGGATGAATGTTTCCGCGGACTCGGAACAAAAATACATCTTTTTGCTCGGTTCGTCGGGCTTTTCAGGAAGAGCGCCCCCTCCTCCCCGCCGTGCGAATGTGTCCGTCCCAACTGGCACGCTGGCATCACTCGCGGCGAGTACACGCCCCGCCGCCGCGCCCCCCGACGGCGTGCCCCGGCGCCCCGCCCAGTGGTTCACGTGCTTTAGGCGCGGCCCCGGCGCCGCCACCCTGTTCCCGCCCCGACGTCTGGAGATGATTAACTTGTCGCGGGCCGCCGCCGCGACCCCCCCCCCTCTTTTTCCTCCCATGGCTCCGTGACGGCCCCTCCATGATTCTTATGACATTTGTCGCGCAGCCCCGGCCCGGCTCAGCGTGCTGAGGGACGCCCCCTCAGCACGCTGCCTGTTGGCTGACGTGATTTAGTGGCGGCCCCTCAGCCCTCGGCCTCCGACTCGCAGCTCCCCTCAGCAGGTTCGGGAGAGAGAAAGGGAGATGGTGGGGGCGCAGGACGGGGCGGGCGAGGGTGGTTGTCGGCGCCGCTCGGGCCGCCCTCGGCTCGGCCCCGTTCGGCTCGCGGGGGGTCGCGGGGGCGCGGCGGGGCTGGGCCGGGCCGCGGGCGGTGGGGGAGGGGCCCTGGTCGCTGTACTCCGCTCCAACAGTTGACGGCAGGGCGTGGCGAGGTGAGGAGCCGAGCGGTGCGGAGCGTGGCGCAGCGTGGCGGTGCGTGGCGGTGCGGTGAGGCCCGGGCGAGCGGTGCGGTGCGGAGCGTAGCGGAGCGGGTGGTTCGCCGCAGTGAGAGACTAGGGGACAGGCCGGGCCGGCCAGCCACAGAGCGAGCGTGCGTGCGTGCGTGCGTGCGGCCGAGCGTGTGCGAGCAAGCGAGCGCGCGGGTCGTGCGCGAGTGACGTGAGTGCAGTGGTGGTGCAGTGTGGTAGTGAAGTGGCGGGCCGAGCTCAACGCCCCCCCAACCCCGTCAAGCATGCGTGTGGCTAGTTGCCTATGACTGGTGAGTACTTCAGCAACAAGCACCCCCTGGCACACCGGTGTACGTGCCCGGCCCCTGGCCGCGACGACCCCGTCCTGTCGGGCCGGGGCGGCCGTTTCGTCCCGTCCAGCACCGGCCGCGGCTCGGCTGCCCACCTTCCCTCCCCCTGCCCGCCGCGCGCCCTCCCTCCGCGGGCCAGCAGGTCGGGCAGCGCCGCGCCGCGCAGCTCGCGCAGGCCGGGCAGAACCGCGCAGACCGGGCAGAACCGATCAATATCCTGATGGACGGGCGCCTGGCGGGGCGTGGGGCGGGGCGAGGGGCGGTGAGGCGGGCGGGCGGGCGGCTGGACGGTAGTGGGTCGGTAACATTTTGTTTTACTGTCAATGAGAATGGCGGCGCCCAGACTGCGACTTCTGCCCCACCATCAAAAGAGTTGTACAGTTGGCGAACAGTGTCAGTCACTCTCCCCTCCCCCTTCCTCCCAATTTAAAATCTCGGCCTCTGCTCTGTCGTCCGGTATAGGGAAAGAGATGGTCAATTGTGCGGCCGTTTGACACGGGATGAGAGAACTGAACCGAATGGGCGCGCGCCGGGCCGACGTTGTGACGTCGGGGATCATGTCCCGGGTGGAGGGGCAGGACGTGTCGTGTTCACGCGGGTCCGTCAGCGCCTAGGGCCTTCTCCGGCGCGAGCACGGCTTACTTTCTGAAAGCGCCCCCGGGACGGGTTGCGGCGGGGGAGTCGCTCCATGCACTCTCGGCAACGCATCGCGGCATAAAGTGGTCTAATTGAGTGCGCTTCAGGAGGAATGCTAGTGCCCCCCCCCCCTCTTTCCCAACCTCCCCGCACGCTTCCGTTGCGGAGGGCCGCGGTGCGGGTCTGGGGCCCCAGGGCCAGGCTGGGTCGGTGTGGGTGTTGCCACGCCGCGTCCCGGAGCGAGGACTGGAAGCTGGGAGGGAAGGCCGGCCCCCCGGCTGGACTAGCGAGGCCCGCGCGCTCCTACCGGGGGGGCAATGAGGTCCAATGAAGTCGAAGATGAAGGCCGGTGACGCCGCGTGCGTCCTGGAGCGACGACGACTGGGCGGGAGGCCGGCGCCGTGTGGCCCTGCACGCGCTCCTACCCCGTGGGGCTTGCTGAAGGTCGGCTCCCCGGGGGGTTCGGACCAGCCGGCGGGCCCTCCTGGGCCGGGTGCCCTCTCAGAGACAAAAATTACAGTGGGCGCCTCTCGTTAGTGCAATTGCCATCTATTCATGCGTACTCTCAGTGATTGCACCAACACGCACGCAAGTTTGAATACTAGCTGCGATTGAATTTTGCAATTTGACAAATTAGTTAACGAAGTATAACTAAACCCAAATAGTTTTGAGAGCGCGGATTATTTGAGGAATATGTTACTAAATAATACACAGTTTAGTTTTATTAGCCATGACCGAGGCGAAATACATCGATTATTATTGTACTCCAAGGCTTTGAAAACTTAAGCGCTCCGCGGGCTGTTGCAGGACGTCTGGGCTGGGCCTGGGCCGGCAGGAAAGCGCAGCCACCCGAGATGAAAGCGTGCTTTTACGTCGGCTGGCTGGGTCGCAACACTTGTGGCTCGATATCACTGCGAGGAGGAAGGGCCTTATTACTTTAGTCATTTTAGTGTCTCGGCGGGCTGTGGCTGCCTTATGGTGCAGAGGTACATCAAAGCAACCATCTCTCGGAGGATTTGAAGCCTGGAAGTCTTATTTTGCTCTACATATTGGTTGGTCAGTTTGAAAAAAGACACGTCTTGTGCGCATCTGCAGTTCCGCGCGCGGCGCACCCCGGCTAGGCACATAGCGGCACAAGATCATGGGCCAGAAGTTTTTTTTATGGCTTTGGTGACGCAGACGAAGGAAAAAAATGCTGAGGCGCTCGCTACGTTAAGTGCAGTCCGAACGATAAGGCCCGATAGAGGTGTGTCTGCGCTGCGATACAAACCTCCGGAGTGGCGCGCACCTAACGTTTGGGTTAAGGAAGGATGAACCTCAGAAGGAGAACCGTCTGATAAACCTCGTAGACGTTTACTCTACATCAATGTATACTCGTCCTTGATTTAGGAGAAGCATTGTATTTGTCAGCAACCATCACGTTTAGCAAGCGTAGCAGGGCCTGCTGGAAATGAAATTCCGAATTTTCCAACAAATTTCGGCGCAATTCATTTGGAAATAACTTTTTTCAGAACCCTTTCGAATACAGTAATGTTAAATTTTACACCTTTATAGAGAGCGAGGGAGTCACAACTCCAGCAATCTGGTGTACACCCTGGCAATCTATGATAACCTTCGGCAATCTCTAGGCAATCACTGAAAATGCCAGAGTCAGGTACCTTACTCTCAGGAGAGCGAGATCAATGACACAAAAAATCTCACTCTCCTGAGAGCGAGATAGCTGACTCTCACTCAAATTAAGTCATAATTTGCGGTTCCTCACTGCAATAGGGCGCGGCCAGGGAAGTCTTACTCCTCTAGAGTGAGAATTCGGTGCATATGACTAAAATAAGGTGAGCCTTAAAGTCATCGCTCCGATTGAGCGAGGCAAAATTGTCTCACTCATTTCCAGCAAGGCACCTCACTCACAGGTTTTCAGTGATCGGACCCAAAAGCCATGTTTGCCTACGTTCAGGGTGCAAGTAGTGCGATTTAACTAGTTCCAGGCGTTTTATGCCCTTGATAGCAAAATATTCGTCTAGCAATCTAAACCTATTTGTAACAGTGTGCAGGATTGTTTCCCTAGATGATAGCGTGCCGGAGTGGGTGGTACGGGGTGGAGTAGCCTGGCCTGCTCCATTCGGCTAGACGCATAGACTGCAAGCCCTCGGCCTGAGGCTCTGCCGGCTGCCGGCCGACGGCTAAATATACCGGCAGGGCGAGCGGGCCTGGCGAAGTCCTGCAGGGGCCGGCCCGGCTCATGTCAGCCACCGGCCACCACCGGCCGGCGTACTGGAGAGAGAGAGACAGACAGACAGGCTGAGGAGATCCAGCTCTGCCGCTCAAACGCCGGGAGTCTTTGGTTGGTTTCTTAGGTGTTGTCCAGAAAGGAAATCCGATTTTCTCAGACTCAGTCGTTAAAATAACGGGAGCTCGGCGCCTGCGATACGTGGGGTAGACCACCCCGCAGTACACGCATGCACTGTAGGCACGATGTTGCCTACCTACCAGGCGCTATAGGAGCTCGCATACACACTGAGAACTGGTTGGCGTCTGATGACGCCAAAATACTGGCATCTTCTGATGAACGCCAAATTTTGGCGTATTTTGACGCCAACTATTGTCGTCCTTTTGGAAGACGCCTAATAGTGACGTCAAAAGAGGCCAGAATTTTGCGTCATTTACCATTGGAACGCCAAATCTTGGCGTCTCATGACGCCAACCAGTTTACAGTGTAGGGTTCATCTGCTTGTTTCGTAACTGCGAATGATGAACGTGCTTTCTGGATGATTCAAAGGTGGCCGATGACCCCACAGCGTGCAGACTGCTACACTGTAAACTGATTGGCGTCTTCTTACGCCAAAATATTAGCGTTGGCGTTCAAAGACGCCAGGTTTTGACGTTCTAAGACGAAGAATGCTAACATTTGGCTTCTGAGAAGAAGAACGCCAACGCCAACCAGTGAACAGTGCCACACGGCAGGTATTAGAATTTTGCCTCAGGCCAGCAATGGTCAGCGACCGACGACATTCGGGTGAGAAACGAGGTTTTCTCCTCCCCTGTCAATGGCTGTCTAAGACCTGTATCGGAGTCTCCAACTCTCCAACGCTTGCCAGCGGTACAGTCACTTTTTAGGCAACATCGTCGAGGTGGGGGCAGGGGGGAGGGGGCACAATCTTGACATACGCGGGATGTTAAATAACCTAGTTGGTGCTTTAAAGATGTCTATAATTGGCATTTGCGGTAAAACTGCCCCTCATGCACAAAAGGGCCACAGTTTGTGGCACAGTTTTAAAATCCTACGAAGCAATGCTTTGCAATTTTAAAAGTGTACATTTTTTAGGTACGTTACGTACCGTAAACGCCTATTTTGGGTATAAGGAGCAGTTTTATAGCGAATACCGTAAGACAGTTTTGAAGCAACAACAGGGATACAGTCCTAAAAGCCCGAGTACGTCAAGAGTGCTCCCCCCGTCTAGAAGACATTGCGGTTCTTTAAAGTGTTTGTGCCGCATTTTTGCGTTACGGACCTCTGGTACTGGTACGTCAGGCAAACGGATATGGAGAGTGCACGATGTCATATCTGCCTCCCTTCCACCTTGTCGGAGAGCTCGGTTGACAGTCCGCTTGCGTCCCGGTAAGTCGCCCCCTCCCCTCTTCACGTCTCACCCATTTCGGGTCTACCGGCCCGACAATCCGACTAAAAATTGTGGGTTGCGTTTGGCTTTTGTAAATTGCGGAGCGGGCGGGCAAGATCCAACAACGCTCTGCGCGCTCTAGCGCCCGGTTCAACCTGTCAGCCCGCCCGGTGCGATGCAAGGTCTCCGTGGCTCCTAACGGAGCGTCGAAAATCGGGGAAATTCAGCTGGTGGCGCTTCGGCCCGAGTGCTACATAGCAAGAAAAAAAGAACTTTGTGTCACAAAAAAATAGTTTGCAAGAAGCAGTTCATATTACCATGTTTCAAAATTCTTTGCAAGCTACAAAGAAAGTCGTGTGCAATACGAACCCTATTCTTTGCAAGCATTTTTCAGCACAGCATTTCAAAGAGATATTGAACAATACATCTGTTAGCACGTTTCTGGAAATAGCTGACGAGACGCTTTTGATTCTTTAACTTAAAACAGTATCACAAAATCAGTTTTATAATATCGATGCAATCCATCTAACTGTCTATCGAGCTACAATAGAAATATCGTCTTCAAAGTTTCCTCGACTGTCGCTTGATAGTTTCAAGTTACTGGGGATGACTTTGCTTGTTGTGGCTCCGCGCCCAGCCCCGCCCTGTTCGACGACCGCAGCCTGTAGGCGCAGTCGGACGAGTCGAACTACACTACCCCGCCCCGCCAGGCTGCACCCGTGCCCGTGACGCAGGTGGTGTGGTGCTGCGTTGGATCGGTATGCATCGGATCGGCAACATTGGCCCGGCGAAATGACAACAAACAAAGTGCGAGACGGCCAGTCAGGGCTAGGGACCATGGCGGGGGCGTGCCGACCGACCCCCAAGACGAGTAGACGACAGACGACACTTATAACTTCTAAACTAGATTATTATTGGCCGCTGGGTCCGCCCAAAGAAACGTGTTTTCGATTTTCTATGTCCTTCATTTACTCAGAACAAAATAAACGAATGGCAAACAGTGGAATTTCACGAGATTTTAATATCTGGGAACTTGCTCTTTTTGATGGCACCTTCAGATTCCTCGTAAAATATCCGTTCAAACGAGCCTACATGTGATGGGATTTGGAGCTCAAAGAACAAAACCGAACAAAACTCAAAACGACGTTAACTTTCATGTTCTTAGAAAACTGTGGGTCAGAACCCTGTCATTTTTCGGTCGATGGTGCCATCATAAATGTTAGTGTTAGATTAGATGATATTCCATCAAACCTAAAATATGTCGACTAGCGTCATTATGCAGTTTTATGTTATTATAAATCAACCACATACGTACTTTTAACGACCATGATAACCAACCTTTTAATTGTCACGAGTACACTCGCAAAACATGCGCAATGCATTTGAAAGAATGCGAAGAACGCCGAAGCCGAAAGTCGAGAACACGTTTCTCTGGGTTCAGGAGGCGCCATGAGTGCGGTATCGGATCGAGGCCGGTTTTCGGAAGGGGTCGTTTGTCGCCTGCTGAAAGCAGGGAGCACGGTAACTTTTTTCGGTATTTTGTTAGGGGTGCCCCCCCTTCCTCAGTCGTGACGCGCGACCCACTTTGAGTCGTAATGTTTTGTGTTCGAGGCGACGAGGCGTTGCGTCGGTCTGCTGGGGATGTGCGTGCGTTGTGCGTGCGTGATGGGCACGCCGCACGCCGCGGAGTCACGGCGGCCGCGTAGGGTGTGGCGGGCCCGCGGGCCGGGCGCCGCTGGTCGCTGGCTGGGGAGCTATCGACCGACGGACTCCTCTATCTTTTTCTTCCTCTTCCTTTCTCCCGTCGTCTCTCGCTCCCTTCCCGGGCTTATTCTTCTCGTCTGACTCCCTCGCACCCCGTCCTCGCCCTTTCCCTCTCCTTTGTTTCCGCTGTAAAGCTGTGTCGTTAAGGAATACTTCTCATAATATCGCAGGTGGCTGATTCGGCCCCGCCCACTTCCGTTATTATTCTGTATCGCATGCACGCATGCTGGAGCGGCTTACTGAGGCTGGTTTTGCGAAAACTTTTTCACAAAACTGTGCGATATCTGTGATGGTTGGGATTCCCACGACTTGTCGCATGATCACCCACCAAAAAGAATTTGATCATTTAACTAAAAGGTAAATTTCGTCTACATAGTAATGCGGCTTTTAAATTTTACCACAAATTAAATTTACACTGAGTACGTACCTCGACCAGATAAGCTTCGGCTTTGGCCTCTGGGATGAACTTAATCTAATTTAGTCTAAGTTAAGGTAATGAAAAACTATTCGTCACATCACGATTCGATCATGATCTAATTGTTTTAATTTATCAAGATATCAATATAGAAATCAAGATATCTAGAATGGGGGTATTCAGGAGGTCCCGCATACTTGTACACACTTTGGTTTCCAGAGTAGTTATTGTAGCGTGTAGCGGCTCCTCTGGGCAAGCCCTCGGAGTCCCCACTCTCAGTTCTGAGAGACCGCTGCTCGTTTATGTTGGCGCGACGCGTCGCGGGTGCACTTTACGGTACAACAATAACATAACTGTGTCGCGGTGGGTGCGCGCCGCAGCCTAGGACCACTAGATGCGTCCAGGAAAGAGGGCTGCTTGGGTGTTTGTTAGCACTGTTAAACTGCTCAACACTTTTAAGTGTGCAACTGCAAGTTAAATACTTGCAAGGGTGCAACTACAAGTTAAATACTTGCAAGTGTGCAACTCGGTAGGTGTGCACTTGCAAGTGTGCAAGTGTGCAACTCCTCGGTTGAGCACTTCCTACACATTAATCGTCCAATCTAAGCAAGTGTTCAAATAAGGAGTTGCACACTTGCAAGTGCACACCTCCCGAGTTGAACACTTGCAAGTGTACGACTACAAAGTTGCACACTTACAAGTGTTGAGCATTTGAACACTTAGTTTATCAGTGAGTCCTCGGGTTGCTGGTATGAGAAGAAAAACGCGTGCTTTCCCGGGTGTAGTGTTATCCGCACTCCGCACTCAGAAGAAGGAGTTTCTCGCTTCTCCTGCCAGCAACCCGAGAAGCCCAAGCAACCTTCTTGTAAGGACGCAGACTGTCGAACGCTTTGCTAAGGAGAGTTTGAACAATATTACGTGGGGTAGGTATAGCTTTTGCCTGAAAACATCTGGCCCTCCCCTTTTTTCGCCGTGCTGCTCTGCTGAATTTCTGAGGCCTGGGATGGGTGCGCTCCGAGCAGCTTGTGACGTCTTTGCAGCAGCAGTAGCAGATTGGCTTTCGTGTCGTTTACTGCTACTGCCTCCTCAGCAACAAACTTGATGTCGGCGGAGTTTCCTATTTTTGAGGGGGGGGGGGGTATCAACGAACAACTTGCGGTACGGGTACCAAATTAGTGCTTTTGCTCGGTCTAAAACGTACGGTGAATCCTGGAGCATTGTGAATTGCGGTGCACACTCACCACTGATAACTTTGAAATGTTTGTTAGTGTACCCATTAGTGATTAGCGTAATGTGTACTGCGTTACGCCGCGCACTTCGAAGAAGGTAATGCATAAATCCGGATCTTCGTTGCTAAGTCAATGCACTGGTAAAACAAGTGTGAATTCTTTATGTGCGCATATCACGATTTTGCACATGATATGGTGTCTCACTTTATACACTTAATTAATATACTGAATCTAAGTGTTTCTTAAATGTCGCAAGTTTGCACATTTGGACGACCCACATAACACTGTAATAAAAATCCTACTGAGGGATCGTCCAGAAAGTTTGTTCGTTTTTCTCAGATTCATTCGTTGAATTATGGGAGCTCGGCGCCTGCGAGACGCAGGGTGGGCCACCCTGCAGTACATGCTTGCACTCCAGGCAAGATATTGCCTGCCTACCAGGCGCTATGAGAGCTTGCACACTCTGAACTTGGCAGGTTCATAGCGGCAAATAACAGGCGTACTTCTAACAGTGTAGCTTACAGTGTAATCTTATCGTCAAGGTGTGCAGATTTCATACCTTGTAAACGTTGAAAAGAAAGTTACACCATAGAACACGGGCTTCCGAGTTAGCATGGTATGGTTCATGCAAAGTTCCGTGGTTTAACTACCGTATGCAGACGTGTGAGTGGCTAGCGTGTACAGAGTTACCGAGTTGGTTGGGGTGGATGGCATGCTGCGCAGTCGCGGCTACTGCTTCAACTTCAAAGAAGGGTCGCGCGTAGTGAGCTGGAGCCTCCGAAGGACGGGTTTGCCTATCGTCTCCGACCATGGCATATTATGGGTCCAAGCATAGGCATCTCGCCCGAATTCGTGTGGCCACAGCGTTAAGAGTGTGTCAACAGTCAAAGACGAGGCTGCTTGCACAACTGCATACAGAACCTTTTAAAATTATTTGACATGGGAAGATCACAGATGATGTTGTATTTTGTTTTATTTTACAATACGTACTTTTACATCTTCAACTGTAATCAAATTAATAGAAATAGGATAAGATTTTTTCCAACGTAAATATTTCAGTGAAGAACCTTCCACTACGGAATTTTGGACTAAAACTCGTCCACGTTCACGTCACTTCAGAGCTCTTCGATTTGCAGTGCCACTGTCTCGTTCGCCCGTGTACCTCTCAACGTGTGTCTAATAGAGTCGTTCCTCTCTGTTGCAGCTCCTGCCGGGTCCACGAGTGTTAAGCAATTATGAATGAGTTGGAAAGCCTACGGCAGGAAGCTGAAACATTAAAAAATGCCATCCGAGTAAGTATTTTTCTTTTTAAATGCTACATGTGTACACTTATTGTTTCCCCTTTCCCTTGCTGAGGTTTATAGTTTAGTAAAGAACGGGCATAATTTAATATATTTTCAACTTGCGTACCCCGTTTACATTTTGTTGGATCACATTAAATCACAGTAAAACTGAGAAACCGTTGCCCTCTATTGCCTCGCCTGGTTTAGCACACTGAAAAAGCATAGGTGCTATTATCCGGGATATCAGGCATGTTAAACTCGTTTTAGTGGTGCTAAAAAGCATATTTTTGTTGTTTTCTCAAAATATTTTCTGTATGAGCAAACCAATCACTTTTCGGGATATTAATAGAATTTTCTGAAATTCCGCGTCAGACGAGCCTACATTTGATACTGTTCTGAGAAACGGCCAGCAAATAAAAGACGAGTCATAAAGTACTTGATAAAATGCAATCAAACTAAAATCATGTTTGAACAAAACCCGAACCCAATTACATCGAACTACATGCAGGCTTGTTTAATGTGGAAATTTGCCTAGATTTCAAATCTAGGTCTCAAATTCCATTCCATTTGGATCTTTAATGCCTATGATAGGTCGGACCTTTGTTTTGCTAGTGCAGTTTTTGATTACTTTGAACTGACGTGTGGCCGACGTTTTGTCGGTGCTCCACTCTGACGGGCCTGCTGCGCCCATCACCCAGACAGTCACGCCATCACGAAATCAGACCGGCGTCCGCCGCTTCAAACGGCCAGCGCCAGCGCGATCAATTTGCCTGCAACATCCTAGCTGCTGGCCAGCCGCCCCGGTCCCGGCCGTCCCGGGGCGCGTGCCGCCGAGCCGAGGGCCCCCGCCCGATACGCTGCGTTGCCCGCCCGCCCTCGGCGCGGCTCGGTGTGATTATAAGACGGGATCCTTGGCTTTGTTTCTTCCCTAACAGTGTCCCCAGTTATCTCTACTGACGGCCCCGCCCCTTTCCCCGGAGCTATAGGTGGGCTATGTGTAAGCTACGTGCTACGTCGCGTCGCAGTCGAGCTGGCCGCGTCGCAACTTCGGGGGGGAAATTGGAGGGAAGAGGAGCAGCCTTGCCTACGCTTCCGTGCGGGCGGGGGCGGGGCTGGCGGGACTTGGTCAGCCTCCCCCTCGCTCACCCCCCGCAGACCGCCCCCCCGTGCAACTCCTCGGTTGAGCACTTCCTACACATTAATCGTCCAATCTAAGCAAGTGTTCAAATAAGGAGTTGCACACTTGCAAGTGCACACCTCCCGAGTTGAACACTTGCAAGTGTACGACTACAAAGTTGCACACTTACAAGTGTTGAGCA